GTAAGAGCCAGAAACCTTGCTGGTTTGTGGGTTCTTAAATGCTTATTTTCCTCCATAATTTACAAATAAATTCCTAAAAAAATGCTACATTGTGATTTCCTGGATTTTTTTTTTCTTTCTCATTTTGTCTTTCATAGTTCGAAGTGTACCTGTGATGAAAATTATAGACCTCTCATTATTCTAAGTTGGAGAACTTGCGCAATCAGTGGCTGACTAAATACTTTTTGGCACACTGTATAAATAAACAGTAGAAATGAAATAAGACATTTTTGTTTTCACTAAGAAATGTTTTCAGAACGGGGCCTGAGTTTATTTTCTGCTGATTTAATCCGTGTTCTTCTGCTGCTTGATTCACACTGTTCTCACCTTGATCTTTTCTTGTGCAGATGCCTGAGATATACCCTGTCATACAGGTGCATCCCAGATCCTCTGTGCCCCTCGACGCCATGCTAAATCAACGTCTCAAACCGCCGACCCGCCGCCAAGCTCGGGAGCTAATCCAAGTCTTGGTGGAGCAGGTGGAGACACCGGGATCTTTCTACATCCGATTCAGTGAGACTGAGGAGGCGTGTGCTTTGGAGACCCTAATGTTTGACATGAGGTGTAACTAGAAATCTTCTTTCTTTCTGTCCATTGGCACTAGTTGAAGTTCTACAGTATAGAATGAGTGCATTTTGAAAGAACCTAGCCATGAAATTTGGTTTCTTCTGCTTATTTTTATCCTTGTATTCCTGTCTCTTAGACGTTGTTACACCTGTCCTGAAGTGTCAGAGGAGTACCACCTTCCTCAGCCATTTGTCAGACAGGGTCAGGTCTGCTGTGTGTCACCCAATAGACTATGGTTCTATCGAGTGGTGATCCACAGAATTGTAAACGCTTCTGATGTTGAGGTTTTTTATGCTGACTTCGGTGATGTGGCTTTGGTCCCAGTTCAAGACTTAAAATTTCTTAAGTATGCAAACTTCCAAGATCTACTTAACAAATGTTAAAAAGCTGATATCTGTATCTTCATTTTATTATCATTGTGGCATTCTCTTATCTTTTTTTCTAGGTCCAGTTTTTCTGAACTTCCAGCACAAGCTGTTCCTTCAGCGCTCACTGGAATCAAGCCAACTTCAGTAGGTTAAAGTGAATCAGGACAATATACAGCGGGTGAAATAACTATTGAACACGCCACAATATTTCTCAGCAAATATATTTCTAGAGGTGCTATTGACATATTTTTCACCAGGTCTCGGTAACCATCCATGCAATCCACACATACAAAGGAATCAAACCAGAAATTAAGTTATGGATAATAAAGTGAAATGGCACTAGGAATAAGTATTGAAGTCACTTACTTACATTTATTTAATACTTTGTACAAAAGCCTTTGTTGACATCTTCAAGATGCCTCCTATATAGAGAAATTAGCCCATACATTGCTCAGGTGTGATTTTGGCCCATTCTCCAACACAGTCCTCAAATCTTCTGTTGGACTTACCGTATTTTCACGACGATAAGGCGCACCTAAACGTCTTTTTTTTTCCCTCAAAATGTGCGGTGCGCCCTATGGTGCGGTGCGCCCTATGTGTGTTGTAACTGCGACTTTTGAGACCACCTCATTGAGGAGATGATGAAAGAGTGGCTGAATGTAAGGAGACCAGGTGGTTTTTTTCCACTCATCACCATCGCTGTTAATATGTAACTCCATGCGTGCCCATCTCACAGCTGATGTGAAAAACATGGGGAAACAAATTAATGCTGTGCTCGCTGTTCAACCGCTCGACATCGGTGTGAACCGGACCCAGCAGGTGCAGCAGAAGCAGCGAGTTTACATGCAAAGTCAATGGTTGACGCGCGTATAGGTGCAGCAAAAGGTCCCGCAGCGCGTTTTGAGCCGCAGGTGCAGCACGTCGGGAGCGTTTAAGCATCTGACGCACCGCCAACGCGCTGCTGCTGCTCGAGATGGAAAAATTGAAGTTTTGCTGCTGGACGCGCCGCATCAACCAATCAGAGAAGCTGATCTGGGAGCTGACAGCGAGACAGACACAGCGCTCTGATGACATATGAACGCAAATGAAAAAGGCTGGATGGATGAGGAGATGATGAAAGCGTGGCTGAGGGAGGTGTATGTGAGGAGACCAGGTGGTTTTTTCCACGCATCACCATCGCTGCGTGCCCATCTCACAGCCGATGTGGAAAAAAAAAGGTGAATCAAATGAACGCTGTGCTCGCCGTTATCCCGGGGGGTCTGACAAAGGAACTTCAACCGCTCGACATCGGTGTGAAGCGGCCGTTCAAAGTAAGGCTGCGAGCAGCGTGGGAGCGATGGATGACAGACGGAGACCACAGTTTCAGGATAAGTGGAAGGCAGCTATATTTGCTGTGATCAGTGGGAATAAAGTAGTTTTAATATGTTTTTAAGTGAGAAAGTCCACCTGAAAACTTAATAATTGCAGTCAGTTCATCCAGATTATCTATTTCTGTCGGAGGCGCTCAGACCCCCACATACCAGCGGTGCGCCGACAGCAGAAATCCCTTCATCAGCAGCCTCTAGGCTGGGCAGCCTGGGGTTCACCGCGGCTGCTGGCAGGTGTTTTTCATCTAAATAATTTAAACTGCAGGCACCAGGATACCGGTAATAAAAGCGAACATATTCCGTCGGCAGGTTTCAGGATTTTAAGTTAATTTAGGAGCGATCACAGCACTGTGTCATCTGCGATGCGTCTGTCTCACGGCCAGCACCCAGGTTTGATTAATACTTTGTAATAAATACATGAATAAAGCACAGTCATACTCAGTTTTGCCCCCGCTGTATTTTTAAATACGCAGTAGAGGTATTTAAAGGTAGTAGAGGACATGTATCTGTATATAAAAAACGCGCCCTATAGTCCGGTGCGCCTTATGTGTGTGTTAAATACAGAAATGGGACACATAACTGAGAGTGCGCCTTTTAGTACGGTGCGCCTTATGGTCGTGAAAATACGGTAAACAACAAAAAGCAAATCCTTCCGCATTGGTAGTGAAAACAAATGATTTGGTCCATTCCTCTTTGAATCCTCTTTTCTCATCAGCAATCTTCCTCTTTTTTCCCTTTGGCACCCATTACCTAAGACACAACCGCTGCTTCAACAGCCAGCTGCTTTGCGTTGCGCCGCGTTGATAGGTGTGTTGCAGGCTTTGGAATAATTCAATTCATTTATATAGCGCCAATTCAAAACACATGTCATCTCAAGGCACTTTACAGTTGACCAGATCATCCAGTCAAATTGATTCAAAGTTTTCTATCTAAGGAAAACCAGTTGATTGCATCGACTCGTTGACTCTAATGCAATCCCTCACACTAAGCATGCTTGTAGCAGCAGTGGAGAGGAAAAACTCTCCTTTAACAGGAAGAAACCTCCAGCAGAACCAGGCTCAGCAGAACCAGGCTCAGTGGTTCTCAGTGAGAACCTGGCTGTGTGTTTCCCTCCAGGAAACACACAGCCAGGCAGACGAGCTCTGAGCCAACTCCCATATCAGAGGATGAAGAAAGCACATCCAGCCAGTCACAGTCAGAGAAACAGGACTAGACTGGAAAAACAGGCCGATCTCCAACATCTATAAACAAAGGTGTTGATGGCAACAGCACAGCTGAGATTTGTCTCCAGGATGGGGTCACAGCCAAACAGTTCAATCTCTACCGTTATGCTCTCGCTGCTTTTTCTCATAGTAGCTTTATCTGGTCTGTTTCTAACAGATTCTGCAGAGTGTGAGAATAGAGATAGAATGAAGCAAAATGATTAAATAAGGGTCCCTATGTCCTCCAGAGCCTATAACAGCATAACTAGAGAGATAGCTCAGGATAACCTGAGCCCTTCTAACTATAAGCTTTATCAAAAAGGAAAGTTTTAAGTCTACCCTTAAAAGTAGACAGGGTGTCTGCCTCACGGACTAAAACTGGTAGTTGGTTCCACAAAAGAGGAGCCTGATAACTAAAAGATCTGCTTCCCATTTTACTTTTAGAAATTCTAGGAACCACTAGTAAACCCTGCAGATTGAGAGAGAAGTGCTCTGTTAGGGACATGAGGAACAAATAAATGTTTACATTCATTGTTTTTGTGTTCATTAATTTATCATCATGCAAATTTTTACAGCATTGGAAAACATAAGGAATGTTTGTTTAATCTCCTGCACACCATATTAAAACAAACCAAAAAATCCATCTTTTTCCTTTTTCACACATTTTTGAAAAAGCTTCAGGGAGATGCAAGGGGGGCATTAAAGTCCCGAGGGTTGCCGACCCCTGGTTTAGAGAATTCTAATAGTTAATTCCCCTTTAAATTAACAATAATTCAGTCATTTCTATTTTGGTTTGTCATATAACATAAAACAGAGAAAGCTATTGCAATTTTATATAGTACAGGAAGGGAAAAATGTTTTTTACTAGAGTTCTTAAATGTGCTGGTTCATTACAGGATACCTGGACTGCAGAATCCACTGCTTCCTTCAAGAAACTCTGTTCTGATCACACCCTGGTCGGCGCTCTGGACTGCTACACTGGAGATGTGCTGCAGCTCTACCTGTGTGACACACACACAGATCAGGACATCTACATACACACAGCCCTGATTAACCAAGGCCATGGCATCGCCTGTAGACCTGCAACTCCAACAACAGTACGCCTCTAATAAAAGTTCCAGTCAAGCACTTTGCTTCACATGATTTTTAGTCGAAAGGGAGACTTTTTGTCCTGAAGATTGGTACCTGAAATCCAGGTACAAATCTTGCTTTGTTCGAGATGTTATCGACACTATCTGGTTGCCATATAATGGTTTGTACACACATTGTATTCCTTTTATATCGTCAGGCATTTTGAATATAAGTAAAGCTTAATGAAACGTATAGTTAAATGGATAATGCCCACTATTGCTCACACTAATGCTAAAAAGAAACTGGTCAGTTTTGTCCATTAATTGTCCTTAAATTAAACATAAACGGCTATAATGTGTTTATTGATTAATTAACATGTCTATGAATCATTTGTTAGTCATTTATAAGGGCAGTTCAGAAATGTGTATAATATAAACTTAAGACAGCCGTGACATTTTAAGCTGCATCTGAAACACATTTAGCTTTAGCCTGCGACAGAAAATACACACTGCAGTATGTCTAGTGTCACTTTGAATAAGTACAATAACATGTTTTAATCAAGTTTAGGCTTTGACTTTTTTTGTTATTTTCTTTTGTTCTTCAGGTTTGCATGAAGGTCACACCAGTGAGTCTTTACATGGGAGAGGGAATGGTTGAGCTGCCAGAAATTGACGAGGAGCTGATTGCATCTCTTAAATCAGGAGAAAATTTTGGACAATCCAAAGAGACCCCAGTGAAGGTAGTAGAGACACACTGCAAGGGGTTAAGTTAGTACAGTATTAGTTATGTTATGCTATCTAAGGATGCCAATTGTATGTAAAGATTGCAATGAATGCACTGCATAGGTTATGCATCCATCTAGTGACCATGTTGCAATTGAGATTTTTGTACATTCTCAAATGGATAAAAAAAAATCCTGATGTCAGGCTGAACACCCCGCCTGAAGTAAACATTTATTGTAAAAGAGCTAACACCAACGGCACCACCTGGACTATGCAATTTGTCTGAATTCCATCAGGAAAACCACTCGGGAACATTACATCAGAAAGAAATGGATTAAATAACAACAGTTTCTTTCCTAAAGCTACAATCATCCACCTGATGGTAGACATTTAATATCCCTCCTTAATAGTCAAGTAAACCTCCGGCCAATTTAATAGACTGCACTCCATGTAAATACTAGATGCATCCATCCATGAATATGTTCTTATTTTACATTTTTAGGTCTCCTCTAAGGATGCTAGTTCTTCTTATTTTTCCTTGGGGGAGGGGGGGGCATTCTTGTGTTTAATACATTGTCGGGTCCATTTTCTGGAAAAATAGAACATTGTGGGGAAAGACTACTTCTTGTGGGGCTCGATATCTAGGTGTGTGTGGTGCGGGAAAGGGGGTGGGCAAAGAGGGAGGTATAAGTACATAATATAACTTTGTGGTTGTAAAATGTAACTATAAAGTTGTTACATTTTCTCCATCTGGCTGTTTTATTCAGGTTGCTTCTGCTGGTTGTGATTCCTTGTTACACTATAGTAACCCTTCAAGTATTAACTCAGTAGTTGCAGTAGCTGTAGTTGGTTAGCACATTGTTTTCACTTTCTGGTTTGATTGATTGAATTAAATTACTGAAAAATTAAAAGATGGGAATTAAGTTGGCCGCTCCAAAGAAAAAAAGGAATCCTAGTAAAATAAACAGTTTCCAGGGTGAGCATTTTTCCTTTATTGCCCTGTTTCTTTGGGTTTGTCTTTCATTTTGTTAGTCAACAAGGTTAAATTACTTTTAAACTTGAGGAGTATTATTGCTTAAATTGCCTTTTTTCTATACATGAAATGAATTTTGTTAGATATTGATACCATGATACCAAAAAGATGTTTTTAATGAAAGTGTTTTTTTTTTTTAAATGGTATTAATGTTGCTGCACAATTAGAAAAGCTCCTAGGCTCAATCAGAGTTGTTTTTTTCAGGGTTTCCCTCTCACTTTCATTTTCACACGTAGTCTTTGAATGTTGAGCTTTTGTTCCCCTCCATCCATGGCTCTTATCTTGCCAGCCATACAGTCAGTGCTGCTGGCCAGAGCACCACCAGTACACACATGAACAGAGTCAGTATTTGCAGTCGGATAAATCGCGCTCATCAAGGGGAGCTGCTGCCCAGTGGTGCTTAATGTACAGCTGCACTGTTGGAAGGTCACGTCTGAATGTTGGGCTGTAAATAAAATGGCAGCCAATCAGTGGGCTGGTTAATGGATACTGCATTGTAAGACTGTCTCCCTTTCTATAACTAAGTGCATGCCATTGAGCTGAACATGCGAGAGAAAGCACATTACATTGTTACTATGGCATTTAAGCATATTTTTTATTTATAGTTTCATTTATTTTATAATTAAAGGCTGGCAATAAAATGATATCATAAAACTTCCTTTACAAGCTTTGGCTTGTTTGTACTATGAAATGGTGCAGCAAAAGCTCATTACCAACATTGGAGCTGCACTATGTTGGCTGGTGTTCAGATCGAGTTTCCTTGAAAAAATCCAGCAAATACATCTAACTAAAGAGAACTACAGAGTAATTGGTCTAATGCAGCTGTTGCCTTGCAGCTGAGTCCTTAGGTTAAAAATCCCGGCCTTAGGTTTTTTTGTTATTATTTGCATGTTTTGACTCTGCAGGTGGGTGTTATTTGCTGGTGCTCAGAGCTTTTCTCCGCAGTGCAGATGTTAAGTTAATGCTTTGTGAAATCCTCTTAGAGCCAATGCATAACTGTTTGTCCTTTTTTTTTTTTGACTTGTTACACTGAAGTGGTCTGGTTATTGCCCATGGAGTGCCCCTAATTCATTTTATACTTACTGGAAATATTCTTTATTACCTCAGCCAAGGAGGTTAAGTTTTAAATAGTTTGTGTCTGTCTGTCTATGTACAGAAAAGTAATGGATGGATTTTGATGAAATTTTTATCAGAGTTCTCCTACAGTACATTACCATTTGGTAGTGATCAAGACCTTAATCTGGATACAATATATATATATATATTTTATAAACGATTCTCTAACGTTGTGAGATGGGGATATTTGGCATATTATAAATATTAAACTAAATTATTTTGTCATCGTTGACGAAAACTACACTGATAGTCACAGAGTGTGGTACTTGAATTTGAGGAAATTGATCTAGGAAAGCTCTTAAACGGTGGTTGAATTTGTTTATAACTAAGGCTTTGCAACCCAGAATAAATATTTCTTTACATCCCGATCTCAATTTCCTTTTTGACTTGTTTGGTTTACTGATCATACAAACATGGAAGTAAAAGAAAACTTTTTCCTTTAAAATGTTCTTAACCAAATAGTTAATAGGCTGAAACCAGATTAGTTCACTACAGAGGAGGATTAGTTAACTGATTTTTTTTAATCAAATTTGATCCCATATCTGCGTATTATTTAAATCGGATACATTTTTGACTTTTAGGATGATGACGAGGAGATGCCAGCTCTGGAACTGATTGAAGAGAGTGAATTCATCCCTCATATTAAGGTAATACCTTTTGTAAAAGCTATTCCAGTTTTCAAAATGTTAATTTTGTTGTTTTTAATTTTTCTGTTAGTTGTATTTGTCTAAACAAAAGCCAGAAAATTGGAAACTTCATTGAGTGGAAAACAAAATGGGTAAATAATTGAAAATCTAGAAGGAAAAAAAACAAAAGTGATAACTGATTATTAATTTTATTATATTTTAAACATGGGGGAAGAAAGTCAGAATCCCGACTTTAATTTTAGAATTCTGACTTTAAAGATTAAAGAAGAATTTTTTTCCCATATTAAACTCGAATGAAATAAAAGATCAGTTAACTTTTTATTTTTTTAAGTTGCCCTTATTTTCTCAGTACATTAATATGTGCTACACTTTGTTCTTTGTTTTTGTACGTTGTGTTAAAATGGAGCATGAAAATAAATTTAAAAAACCTGATCCCATATCTGCATATTATTTTAATCTGTTTGAATTTTGCCTTTTAGGGTGATGCTGACAAGGTGATGCCACCTCTGGAGCTTATTGAGGAGAGTGAATCCATCCCTCATGTTGAAGTAATACCTTCTGTAAACGGCTATGCTAGCTTTCAAAATGTTACTTTTGTGGTTTTCATTTTTCTCTTAGTTGTATTTGTTTACACAAAAGCCAGAAAATTGTAATAAGTGAAAAAACAAAATGGGTGAATAATTAAAAATCTGTAGCAGATAGGTCTCAATGCATTGCAAGTTTTAAACTCTAAAATGTTTTTTACTATGGCCAAAGAAAGCATTACCACAGTATATAATACTTAGGATTTGGATTAGTTGTTGCCTGTCTCTATTGCTGCTTTGTTCTCATCATACAGAATGCTTATATGGAAATTAATGACTGAGCTAGGACAGTATCAATATTCACAAATTCACATATGTGACCAAACATGCACAGGACAATATCCAGACATGCACATAATAATTCAAAGAACTGCATGAAATTTACACAAAAGTATTTGTAATGTATATACAATTATATCTCTATATGGTCAGAAAACTCTGTCTTGCTCTGGCAAAATCTCTACTGGGGGTTTGAAGAAGGATAGCTCTAGATCTGTGTCGGGCAGAGGTGGTAGGTGGCTGGGTCTAGCTCTGGAGGCTAATCGTGGAGTTTGAAGGCCAAGCAGAGTGCAGAGTGGGGGTTAGGCCAACTCTGTGAGCTTTGTGAGGAGGACGATTGATGAATAATTTAACAATTCTTTGAAGGGTTAAACTGAAATGGGTTTTTTAAAAGCCCATTAAAACCTCTAAAAAGCATTTCTTAAAGATTTTCTGTCTTGGATAAAAAAAAGAAAAAGGCCAGTTTGCATTGCACTCTTTTTCATATTTATTAATTGTATTATTGGGGTTATTAATGTGGACCTGTATTTAATGTTATAAAACATATTATTTTAAAAACTTTAAACGGTAAGCAATGTGGATTATCAAAGACAGGAAAAACTGTAGCTGGAAAAGGATATAACATCCAAATATGGTATGGGTCTGCCATGTGGTCAGTGTCCATCAGTTTACTGCAGCAACATCCAAGTCTTCCATCGCCCATGTGATATATGTTCTTGTGATTGGCTGAAACAATAGAAATATCTAATGGGTTGCAAATTATAGCTTGTTAAAAAACAGCATTTTTGCATTAGCTGTGTTATGGGAAGTGACAGCCTAGTGGTTAGGGCACGGTGCTTGGAATCCAGAGGTTCTGAGTTTGAGCCTCCCTCCCACAGACTGGCTCTCTGGGTCCCTGAGCAAAGACCCTTAACCCCACACTGCTGCCTGAGCGCTGTATAATGGCAGCCTACTGCTCCCCAAGGGGATGGGTTAAATGCAGAGAGTTCATTTTGTTGTGCTGCACTTGTGACAGTGTAATGATAATAAAAAACGCTGGAAAAAGGAATTACGTTTGGTGAGTCTTAACATTTGACACGATTTGTAGTTCATAAACCAAGATATGATTGTGTGTACATTGCAAATAGTTTTGTGGATCTTGTCTCGTGAATATGTACATTTTATAAGCTTGTTTATATAATTGTGCATTGGTGGATCTGATTCCATGCGTGTGTGGATTGTGTTAAAACATCTACCACTGAGCATTGATATGAGACAATGTTCTTAACCTCACACTACTGCTCAAAGCTTGCCAAGCTGAGCATATAAGACTCTAGTCTATGTTGCTCTCGTGTTCCGGATTGTTGCCACCAAAGCTTTCACAGCTTTGGGTGGCCAGGACTCTGCTGCAATTAGGCTTTTGATTGCTGCATATCATGACTTTGTTGGTCGATGGTGTGCTACCACAATCTGGGACGGGTCCTGTTTGTGTACCCTTTCTAGTACAGGCAGTATCATGTCCACTGGAGGAAATGCATACAAATGCATGGGACGTTAGTCCTTGTCATGAACCGAGAAGCTACAGCCATGAGGACAGCGGTGAATGGCAGACTCTGCAATGTTTTTGTTAGCTCTGTGCGCATAGCGAAATACACAAAGCGGTATTGGTGTACTTGAACTTGGTGCTTTGCAGGCAGCAGTGGCTAACTCCGACAAAAGCCGTTAAACTCATTTCAAGTAGCCTCACAAAAGCATAGCTACCCAACAGCAGCAAGCTAGCCTGAATCCAAGAGGTGCTTTTAGTGAGGTTAAGAACTAAGTATGAGTGATATGGAACAACACTTGTATAGTGTGTCCTCACTTAATTTTCCTAGGAGGCGTGATTCAGCTTGGATACACAGGGGTGGGATATTGCATACTTATGTGTTGTATTGATTGAATGAAATTAAAAGGAACTATCACTACCAGGTTCCAGTGTGGAATGGCTGAATTGCTCCAAATATGAGCCTATGTACAATGTTTTCTATAAAATGTTCTATTTCATAATTCTGTGAAGTTGGAACCTAATCTGTTTCATCCACCTGCTTGCTGTGTGTTTAAAAGGCTAAGGATCCCGACCCTTCCTGTGGCATTTTACCTGATCGGAACGTCGGCTGCAGTGAAAAAGCGTTGGCCTCCGCAGATGAATCGACGTTAAAGGCTGATGCAAGTCTTGCACCACCAGGCCTGTTCCAGACCAAGAATAGCGCTTCTTGTAAAACTGAAACTAAAGTGAGATTTTTTGTTTTGTTTTATCTATAAAAAAAAAGGTAAACTTTAGATTTAAAAAGTTACCTCTTTATTTAACTTTTCCCCCATGACTGTTCAGGCGCTGCACATAACTTCTACTCCGACTCCACCCAGCTCAGACTCCACCACCTGCTGGTCACAAGAAGAAATGACACAAACCATGAAAGTCAAAACCTCATTTATTGGACCATCTTTGATATATAAGACGCTGAACCAGGGCTGCTCTAAAGGTACCAAACATATATTTGTAGTCTGTCAAGTTTTTCCATAAATTTTTATTTTTTTTCTAACTTTATTTATAATAAAAAATAAATTAATAAACAATATACAATATTGATATACAGACACACACACACAAACAGATCAAAATAAATAAACAAAAGGCGATAGTGGTTTGGTTAATTTTGCTGTACAACTGTTTACATTTGACATCTTCACAGAATATATCTAATATAAATGGCCTTGATATCAATTTTGGTAACCAGCATTGATTTTGCAGCATAATATATTTATTCATGAATTTACCACCAACGCCGGCTCTTGGTCTGACCCGAAAACCGAACCTGAACTGATGCAGCTGGAACGCACATGCTTGAACAGACGTCATCGCTTGAACCTGTGTCTCTACTGCAGCGGAGAGGGACAGAGAGTGAGATCCTGTCCGATAAAAAGGACAGGCTCAGTAGCGGAGGGGAGAACTCTGCTGAGCCGCACCAGACTTTGTCTCCACAGATCTACTACTTCCGTTTACTCTGTTGGTTAATTCCAGGAGTCATACTTTCAGGACTATAACTCCCATATCAGAGAGCCTCAGATTTTGGATGCATTTTGACCCAGCCTGTACCTCTGATATCACATCCTAAACCCTCCCCTGTGGCGCTAAATCGACAGAGAAAAAAATGTTTCTCTTCCTCCTGGACTGCATCCTGGACACTTGTAGAGGCCCAACAATTCAGCTGGTCATCACAATACACATAGTGCAATTCCTGGAACCTCAGTCTCATTTGTTGGTGTCTGCCGTTAAAACAGCAGATAAGGAGGTTATTAAATTCTAATTTTTTTATCTCCGCCAAATAGAGCAAGCAACTCCTGGCTTGGTGCCCTAGCCAAATTGTCCGATGTTCTTTTTTCTGCACTGCAAGCATTTCTGATCCAAAGACCACTGCGTCACTTCTGCTTCCTGAGCTGTGAGCCCTTGGAACAACAAAGAACTAAGAATCTTATCATTTAATGGGTATCTTTTCTCGGCAATGCTAGAAGTAGTAGTTAGATGTTGATTAGTTTACTGAGCATGAGCACCGGAACTATTTTAGCTGAGGTTTATGACAAACATACGTTTTTGATGTTACAGCCACTGTTACCTCCTTGTTTTTTTTTTTGTTTTTTTTTCTCTTGTTTGTCTCTGTGCACTCCTTTCTCTGTCTGAAATCACTTTGTTATATACGCTGCCACTCAAACGCGTGTGTACGGCCATCTTATGAGAGCCAGTTTAGTTTAGGATCAAGTATTTATGGCCCGGTTTGGCGCGGTCTGAGATCTTATGTTCCTGGCCTGTGGTTAGAGGCATGGCTTGCTGCTAATGTATACCAGGCTTAGCCGATCACAGTAGCGTGTTTGTGGCCTGTTGGCTAGTTTTTGCTTGGTAGAATTAGCTGTCGGTTGCCATGGCAACAGAAGCATTGCATCTCCTACATCACTGCTCCTTTCCATAACATCTCAATGTTGTCGCATCAAATGTATTATTTTTACTGGTAAGTAATGACAGTTTAATTTTTAAACCAAGTTATTGACATTTACTCACATTATGGACGTTTTGGATTTAAACAGCCAGTTTGAGATTTCCAGCGGTAATTGACCATGTTGTCAGTTATAATCATGTGCCTAAAGACAATTATTTTGTTTGACTTGATTTGAATGACATGTTATCCAACTATAACCCGCAGTTCTAGTTGATAATATATATTAAGAATAATAAATAAATAAAAATTATTAATATAAATATATAAGCTGCTTGAAAATTGCACTTCAGCACTCTGTCCTATATTTTTTTACCAAACAAATTTTCTATCACCAATGCTGTGACCTTCATTAACCTGCACTTGCATATTCATTCACTTCTTCTCTCTGTATATAAACACAGTGAAAGCTCTTCAATGAAATTAGAGCGTGTCCGTGGATGCAGAAAGGGCGTATTGATTTCTGTGCTGCCGCTCACAGTGGCAAATGTGTTTGCAGTGAGAACCTGACACAGATTCAATTAGACCTGTTACTGGAGCTATTTGACCCAACAAGCTGCTCTCATTGCTTTTGCTCTGATATTGATACAGTGTTGCTCCAAAAGCCTTTCACTAGCACAATGTTAGTAGCAGGAATAAAGTTAGATGGAAGCGGTGCTTCTGTATGCGTAGTTCTGCACAAAGGTAGATTAGAAACTTTTTAATGGATTATCATTCACTACAGAAAAGATTAGAGGACATGCTGAAGTGTTCATTCTGGGTTCTTTCTAGGTTTTGTTTTCCAGGATACCAGAAACTTAATGGATTACTAACTAAGCCCAACTTGAAAATGCTGCATAGCATTATGTATACTCATATTTTCATGTAATTATCCTTGATCAATGTTTTTTTTGGGCTGAGTTTGAAGGCACTGTATTTTGCACTGTATCAGGTCAGTATATGAAATCTACTCTAGCAGATATTTATAACACTTATCTCAAGGCTGCTACCAAATCAGTTCAATCAGAAAGGTTGGTTAAGAGTTTCCCTAAGGAAACCCAGCTTAGTTTTAATTGTTCAATAAAGACTTGAGTTTAATTACATTTTTTAAAGGTATTGAAAAAATGTTATAACGCTCATAAAAAGACGACTATCCTTGAAAGTTCTTTAAAGTTTTTCTTTTTAGGTTTGAGATTTCACACATTGTTTTTTAAACCCTGGATTCTTGTGTTTCCTTTATGTAATAATGTGTGGGTAATAGCTCATTAATGAGCCGAGATTTATTTAAGTCGACTGTTTGGCTCTGAAGTTGAGTTGATGCATCGTTCTATTACAAATTCGAATTAAGCCAGGTCCCGCCGGGAGGTGAGGCAGGGTTGATAATTACTTGTATGTCTTGATGCAGCGACGATCTTAGTTATATCATGTTGGTCTAATCCAGCCTTTCTTGCTAACTGTGTGTTCTACTAAACCCTTAGTATAAGCCAATAAGAGACCAGTTTGCCTGGCTAATGCACACCGCCATGCAAGCCCACACATTGTGGGTGGGTGAGTGTTTGTATACCTGTCTAGCCTTTTACAATTTCTCCATCAAATTGAGGACCAGTTGCAAAGTGAGGACATTTTGCTGGTCCTTACAAGCTATTTTGCAAACGGTTAGGTTTAGGGCTAAGTTGTCAATTGGGTTAGGGTTAGGGTGAGGTAGGCATTGGTAATGGTTAGGTTTAGGGGTAGTTTTAGGGTTAGGGCATAGAAAAGGTTGAAAATGACCAAAAAACAAAGGAAGTCAACACATGGTCCTCACTACAGATAACAGAATGAGTATGTGTGTGTGTAAGTTTCAAGTTGTCCATTTGTGAGTCGACTCCACCTGATTAAGTAGACTAGTTCACAGGTCAACTTTTTAATAAATGCGCTAGTGGACCGGACATGCATCATCTGAGAACATGTTGCTAGAAACACATTTGCTGAACAGCTTTAAGGCCCCAGCAAACTCTAATCTCGCTGTAACTAAAAATATCTGTGTTGTGGATATGAATTTTTACTATCAGTATTATCAATAAAAAGGTTGACTATACACTCCCTTTATTAATTCTATATGAATTCTTCAAAAACATCTATGCCATTAGTTTACTTAAATTAGCATCTTTCCATGATGCGCTGGGGACAGCGGCAAATGACAGACTTCTGCTTTGTTTTTGTTAGCTTTGTGCGCATCCTGAACTACAAAGCGAGATTGTTATACTTGAACATGGTGCTTTGCAGGCAGTCATGCTTACTGGCAGGCAGCAGTGGCTAACTTTAACAAAATCTGTTAAACTAATTGCACATTAGCTATGTGTCAATGCACCAGACCAGTGTAAATGTAATCAAGCTCAAAAACAAAAATTAACTATTTATATGGACCAAGTCATCTGAATAAACGCTGATCGGACTCACAATTTGTCATGTAACCATGCCAGTTGGAATATTCTGAAATCCGACATTCTGCTTTTAGCCACTGGATGTCGATGTGTGATTCGCATGCCCACTTGCTCAGCTTGCATTATTTAGAACGATGTGATCCTGGAAACCATTTACTTGCATATTGATTGGATTGTTTACCAAGTTGTGAGAACTGCCAGTTGCATAGAGTCTCATACCATTTATGCATAAAGTGAAGAGTAAAAACTTCTTTGTGAGCGGCCTTATGCTGAGGCTGAGTGAGAGTTAAAGGAAACAAAAGCAAAAGGAAAAACAAGAAGAACGAGAAGGTAATGGTAAGACAGTGCTGGTTTTTATGGCTTTAAAATATTTTTCAGATTTTATCCTACCAAATCTAATTGTTTTATTTATTTATTTATTTTTATTTCCTTGGTTTTTGTTTTGTGATTTTTTTTATTTATTTTTATATAACTTAATTTCATGATAGAAAGAACGAATGATATATATGTTGCTTTCAAACGTGCTTTGATTACCATCATCCCCTCTGGGAGGTGACATTAATATAAAGGTTAATGAAATTCAAGCTGTGAAACATTCGTGAGAAATAATCATGTTTCACAACAAGCAATGAAAATATTTCACATTAGATGTTTTTGATGCTAGTGACATTTCTCTGTGAGCTAGTTTAACTGTTGATTTGACACATCTAAGAAGAGAAAATGATACAACAGTGTTACTCTAAGAGCTATGAATCCTCAATTAGTGAATTTAAAATATATATAAATATTCATAAACCAAAAATGTTGCTTACCAAATAAAATAAATGTATTGCCTGGCTTTGTGGTAAGAAGCTGTTGAGCAGATGAGTCCTGAGCTGGTTTTCAGGTCAAAAGGATGAAAAAGAGAACATAGTCGCAGCAAAAACGGTGCCCATAGCTGCCTAGGAAAGGACCAAACACTATAAAATAAGCCCGCTCTATCATCCATAATTAAAGTTGTTGACATGGCAGCACAGCTGATTTATTTATTTGTACCCTTCAGGATGTTGTCACAATTAAACAGAGCCACAGACCCGATGAAACTACTATGAC